TATATATATGTATATGTATATATATGCTCTTTCCCAGTAAAGGAGAGCTCAGACTTCAGCACTGAAGACAAAATGATAGCTGTGAATTTATGCCACACAATAATTTTGCTTTATTCCTTCATGTAAGGTAGAAAAAAGTTAGTGCAAAAGTAGATGGCAAATACAAAGACCATCAAGAACAAAGGAAGACCAAAGAGTAGTAGTTTGGGAAGAAGGTTTGCTAAAATACAACATTTCAAAAGTAAGCAGTATAGTTTGTATATGGAAAAAATAATACTAACAGTGCTTAAGAATAAAAGAGGAAATCTATTTGTAACTATAATCCTATAATTTCTAGTTTCTACTATATGTTTTTTATGGTGAAAACCATATTGCATCAACTCATTTTTACCCTGACAGTTCTATACCTTTGCCTCTTTCATTTTTGGCTTTCAGAAAAACAATTTTTGAAACAATCTGAGCATATATGATTTAGAAATAAATTACACTAATAAATATTTTTATAGTGACTTGAAATTACAAACAAAATCTTTCTTTTCTTCTTCCTACACAAACTAGAGAATAAACTTGTAGAAGAAACTTTACTATTAGCACAGCAGCCTGATTACAAAGGGCAATTACTAATTTTGAAGTACACTGGAAAGACATGACCTGATTACAGCACAGTGATTAAGATACAGATATAGATTAAGATTAGGATGTACTGATATGACCGACAGAATAAAATTAAAGTCACCTTTCTAACAGCTAGTGATTTACAAAAGATCTTATACTTTGCAAAACTTGGAGTTGAGCAAAGATAATTGACATTTTACTTTTATTCTGAAACATTTAGGTTCATACCATCTCATCCATTTCCATGGGAGCCAGGCAACTACACACCTTTGAAGTAACGGCCTTGACCCCGAGTCTGAAAGCCCTTGTATATGTTTCACATGCATGGTTCACTTTATACAGTCCTGAGTTATTATTGTGTGTTATTTACCATGTAAAAATCAAGCACATGGCAAATAGCTGCAGGAGTCAAAAGCTACGAAGCTTAATGTCAAATACTTGTCCCACTTTGTATTTCTTCAGTCTCTGAAGGGTTCTTTTGCACAACTGTTCATCGCACTGAATCATCATTCTCAGACAGTGAGAAGTACAGTTGGAGCCAGACTCTTCTTTCTAGGGAGAGCAGTTCCTTTGCCATAATTACAGGCACTGAAGCACCCTCCACGAAATACAGTCGTTTCTTTAATAAGTGACACTGAACACTATGCCAGCCTACAGCAGCTTTCTCAGTTTGAAACACAAAAGCAGTCAAGTCTCAAAAACTTCAAAGAAAGCTTTTCATTTTATTTTCTGCTTGATCCACTGATAGAGCAGTTCATTTTCTTGAATTTTGTAAAATGACTTTTTCACTCATCAGACCTGTATAACAAATCACTGTCTCAATCACCAAATGTTCCCGTTTGACTCATCCGCTTTTCCTTTGGCCTTTGGGTAGGAAGCTTCACTTCTGAAACATTTTCTAAATTCACTTTTGTGAACTCTTCTCCCTCAGTTGCACTTTGTTCCATTTTAAAAAATAATTGCATTTCCTGCAACATAATGTGCTAGTTTCAGGTTTTTAAATTTCATCAGAACCCACATTTTCTTTCTTAGATGGAGCAATGTCTTTTCTTTAAAAAGCACCATTTTATAGCACACTATCAGCTATAACATGGCACTTTTAAAGTGGTAAATGTTATAGCGTAACATTTTTCCAGAATTCTTAGTTTCATTCTGCTAACTTAGAACATTTTTTTCACTAATAAGACATTTGTACTCTCATGTATAAATGTTTTGCTTTTTACGGTCAAAGATTTTCTCTTTCTAATTTCTGAACTTTGCTGCTGCAGTCTATTCTAAGACAGTATCTCCTCCAAGGAAAACTCTTTAACAAGACAGGACTGTCAATAATCCTAATCTTTTTCAATGATAAAAAGGCTGGAAGGCTATAAAGTTCCATTCCTCCAGGCTTTTTCTGCCTCAAAGCAAATAGGCCAACTTCACATAGGTATTCGCTGTGGGGAATGTAGTTAATCCTTTTCAAGAGGTAAGAACAAACCCCATAGTATGAATTACATTTTCAACTGGGTATTTACGTTTCCTGGCATACCATCCAGTAATGTACAAACCAGAAAGTTGCAGAAGGTCAGAGCATAGTAAACTCATACACAAGTATGCTTCAGAAGAGCACGCAATGGGCTACGTTATGATCTTTGCTTACTGAGACCAACTGGAACAGAAACACTGTCATTTTACACTAACGGTGAAATGCAGCTGAGTTGAGCCTGATCACCATTACTTAAGTTTTATGTAGTCAGCTTTACCATCTTCTTCTGTATGATGGCAGATTTTAACCCACTTCCTTAACTGCTAAGCTTAGACATCAATCTTCAAAAGACAAAAAAATCTGAGCAAATATAATATTTAAAAAGGATGGTGATCACTCCATAGAAAAAGGAAGGGGTAAAAAAAAAAAAAAAAAAGGTTCTGAAGAACACAAAACCTGTATAAAGTGTGTGGTCCCAGAGAAATAAAGTCAGAGCTGTTTGATCAAAACTCCCCATACTCTGAGTCAGAACCAATGTTTCACAAATGTGCGCAAGTTTGACAAGATTCTGTGTCAGCTGCCTTTTGCCTAGCCAGATAATCTTCTTTCTCCTGCTCCTACTGTGCTACTTCTCTGCCTGCTTGTGTCCGTTTCCCGTTTTTCCCAGGTGGGGTCCCCCAGCCAGTCATCCACATTTCCCTCTGCCAGAGGTTCACTCTCACCCCCCTACTTTCTGCAGCCCACACGTCCCACTCTGTCACCTCGTTGTCCTCAGCCGCATCCCATCTACCACGGTCGCGTCCCTCTGTGGTCTGGGGTTTCTTTCCTGACCCCAGGGAGGCAGAGGCCAGAGGGCAGAGCCAAGGTCTGGCAGGGTGCAGAGCCCTGAGGGAAGGGCTCTGGACAGGCCCAGCCTCACCTTCCTCCAGGGCATCCCAGCTTTAATCAAGCAGCCCTCCACAAAGACAGCAAGACCCGGAGAGCCCACAGACTCCACGAGAAGACAGAAATGAACCTGGATGCTTTGTTCCAGCAAATACAGCTCACAGAGATGCAGGCGAGGGAGAAGAGACGCCTCATCCAACAAGGTCTCCCCCATGGCCGCCATCTTGTGGGTCCGGCGGCAGCACTGACCACTCTTAATGGCCTCTCCATTTCCCGGGGGGGAAAGCAGGGTGGCCCCACTCTGCTGTCACCAGGGGATCTTTGTCACTGAAAGCTCGGCAGGCAGCCGGGCTGGCTGCTGCTTGCCAATGGCATGTTTTTATAAGAATGGAACTTTTACAAACTGAGCGCGCATTCTTACAGGTTTTCGTTGTGTTGCAGCTAAATTTGACATAAAGAGAAGTTTTGAAAAAATGAACCACATAAAAGAAGAGCTGAGCACTGCAAAAATGAAATTAGAAACTAAGTTTGTAACTTTTACAAACTGAGCACACATCCTTACAGGTTTTTGTTGTGTTGCAGCTAAACTCGACATAAAGAGAAGTTATGAAAAAATGAACCAAACAAAAGAAGAGCTGAGCACTGCAAAAATGAAATTAGAAACTAAGGTAAGCAGGCATGTTTATAGTATACATAATAATGAAATACATTATATTTACAAATACATGACCTATTATTTCAGGAATAGTTTCATAAACACTTTCAAGGAGTATGCTTCACCTACTGAATAACACAGCACTGAGAAAACTTACACCGTGCGTTTCTGTAGTGAAAAAAGGTCTGCCAACATCTTTCCCCTCACATAAATCTCACCTTTCAGGCTGGCCCCTGGCTGCGTTCAGGGACTGGCTCCCCTCAGGGGTAGGAACATTTCCATGTAACGCTTCCAAAACCTGGAAGCCCTGGAGACAGGACACGTGCACCTGAAAGTCTCTCCTGCTCCACGGATGGAGCTTGGCAGGGAGCAGACCAGCGTGTCAGGTCAGTCCGTGCGCAAGACACAGCCACCACACGTCAGCCGGACGCAGACTAGCCGTTCAGGTGCGGTGCAAGCCTCCCTGTCTTAACAGTTCTGGAACTTGTTACAGCACTTTTCTTCAGAGGCACGGAAACTATTCCTTTGTTGCCCACTGCCTTTCATTTAAGGCCTTTCACAGAAAATATATGGAAACATTCCCCGTGTTTGCTTCACAGGATCTTGAGTCATACACAAAAGATCTTCCTCTGACCCTGGGTTCACAGTTTAGGCCTTACAAGGCCTAAGAGTTTTTCCAGGGATGCCAAAGACAGAGGAAATTTTCTGAATCTATTCAGTGTTTTTAAGATTTTATTATGCTTTCCATTTAACCAAACTGCAGACATATTTTCCAATTAAGCTTCCAGTTTTGCAGAACTTTTCATCATTAGTACCTGTGGTTACAAATGATTTAAAAAATCCATTTGCTTGTGCCTGAAAATGAACTCTAAATATCATCCCCTGTGCTCTTAAGTATCTGCGCTAGCAGAATGCCTACGCGCAACAGGAATGCATATGGAGCCTCCTTTGAAGTCAGAGCCGTCGTATCCTATCACTTAAATAAACATCTTCAAGAACCTGTGGGAGATTGCCTCATCTAGTTGCGAAAATAAATGTTTGGGGGGTGATTTGCATCCTTCCAAAACGAGGCTCTTCTGCATTTTGTAAAAGACTATGTAATATATATAGTAAATATCAACAGTACTGCTAGGGGATCAGCATAAAAGACAACTCATTTACAAATATTTACTGGTTGCAAATTGAGACTATAATCATGCAAGCAGTTATTCACGTGCTTGCATTTATGCGTGCCACAATCTCAGAGCCCAAAAGCGCTTTAAAATAGTAACTTATTTAACCAACATAGAGTATATCTGCTTGTTGCTTGTTAGGTAAAGTCCTTCATAGTCCTGCTCATAAATTTATTTATGAACATCACAATTTTATGTTTATGCTACTAATTTGTTATTTATGCATTGATTTCTAATCAAGGTTTATGTGGTAGGTACAGAAGGTCCCAAGAGTAGAGCCATTATTGTAAATGACTAATGGGAAGAGCTGAAGAACTATTCCTAATTAAATCTTATGTGCTTTATCCACCAGGATTAATAATATTCTCACTGATGTCCACAAAAGTATTTTTACTTGCTTGTTTAGTCTGACATTGATTCATTTATACATGGTAAATTATACAGAAAACAAGCAGAATGGCAAAATGCATTTCAATCAGACTATATTTAGGTTTAAAGATTATATAGTTATTGAGATTATTTAAAGTAATTTATTTTTCAGTACAGGAATTAAGTTTACATATGTCTACAATAGTTAATGTAATTCAAATAGTATTAAATAATGCTGTTCAGCTAATGCTGTTCAGTTTGTCTCGCACCAAATAACTGCACTTCTTTACAAGCATACGTATCCAAGCATGTGCATGCACAGCAGCTTATGCCTGACCAAGCAGATGAGACTGAGTTCAAAGTGTTCTGACATCTATTTCACAGAGACTGCCTGTGGTCAATCAAAGATTCCTAGGAAATGCTATTTTTTTCCTCTGTCCTGTAAAATCAGGTAGCATGTAATTAGAACCCAAATTACAGCATTTTGCTTTTCATGGCTCAATGATTTCTTAAAAAAAATCTGTTACAAATGCATAGATTAAGTTGGCATCTTACAGATGGAGAAACTACACTGCAGCTAGTTATGTTCAGTAATATAAATAGCATGGTATAAGACCATCTACTCTCTTTGAATTAATAATTAATTTTAATTAATTAATTCCTGAGCAAGCTCTTCCTGGACACTTAGCATGCAGGCCATATCAGGGATAAGGAAAAAATTTGGTCCTTTCCAACTCTTGTATTCTAGTCTTAGAGCATTTGCTTCCACTATCCCCCTCCTTTTTTGATCAGATGAACTTCATCTACACCCTCTCCAAAATCATCTACATTATTTCATTTTACAATCTTTTCATTTTTACCTCTGTAATATCACTATTATTTGGTCTTTTCTGCTTCTGCACACACAGTCATGTATCAGCCTGACTATTCATTTTACTTCCTGATACTTACCCTGTGCCTTTACAGTCTGTGGGCAATTCTGCTAACTTGACTTTCCCTTCTCATTGTTCCGAGTATTACAGTCTGAGTCGTTCTCTTGACCTCCTTTTCCTCACTTCATCAGATGAATGATTCTCATTCTTTAAGACTCTTCAACACTTAGCTGTTCCCTATTTATCTGCTGTTATAGTTTATCCCACCATATATCTTAACTTAGGTTAGACAATGATACAGTAGATAAGCTGGAAAATTGAAAAGAACTCCTCAGCAAATCTTGAAAATGCAAAGGTTGAATGGCATACCCTTCTATCAGATAAATTACTGTTTAAAATTAATAAAACTAAAAATATATGCAAAATAGAAGTTTGGGGCTTGGGGTGGTTATGGACAAACTGTCTTTAACCAGTGAGCTAATTTCTGTTACACCTCCTTTGCTAAGAATTCCAGAAATTCTTCTCAGAAAAATATGAACATATCCCTCCCTCCTTTGCATATGCAGTAGTAGCTTTGCAGGGTTGATGATCATTCAGTCAAAACAATGATGTTGGACCACTGTCTCTCTGATATTATTGTCTGATTTGGTACATCATGAGCTTTACACAACTGGATGGAGGACACTATATTATGTTGGGTAAAAGATCCCATATGATCAAGATTTTTCCTGGGTTTAACCTGAAAAAAATTTCTCTAAACTGAGCTGACTTTAAAATGCCATTTTAGACAGATGGACCAGCACTAAATGTGTCTTTTAAAGAAAGGATACTTTTCAAAAGCTTAGTGGTATATTGGAAGATTACTGGGGGAAAAAAGAGCTGTTATGCTTTTGCTAGTCCAGCACCTATGCCAGCTGTGTTTTAACTGGACCAGGATCCTTATGTACAATATCAAAGTATATGAAACAATGAAACAATAACCTTACTTTATAACCTTTTTTTTCTTCTTCTCTCTCTTGGAAGGTTCAACTTCTGTCTGAGAAACAGTTCTACTTAGAAATTCTGAAGAAACGTGAAGACAGCTTAGAAAAACAGAAAGCTGAACTTATTAATCAAAAAAGCAGTCTTCTTAAAATCTCTGTATGTTTCCAGCTATGGTATTCAGACAGCTCTTTTCTACTGTATGAGCATAGTCAGCTTTAAAATTTGAAAATATGGAAGAAGTAATGTTTTAAATCTGGAAAAGAATTATTTTTTCCCTCTAGCATACTTACAATGTAAATGTAGATCAATTCTGACTTTTAATTTAAACCATGATCTAAGGTAATGTATGCTGCAGTTTATCTACAAAGCTGATTTAACATTCTTGACTTCATTTTCTAATGTCTGCTGTTGTATGACCGAACTCCAATTCTGACATGTTATTTCCTTTGTAAAAGAAACCCATGAAAGTCTCACCTTGAATTGGACTGCCTCATCCACAATAAAACAAATTGAGAAGAATCAAAGGCAAAACTCAGGGAGGCCAACACCACATTTTAGGAATCCTGACATACCACACAATCTCTTTGATGCTAGACACACCTAGCCACCTCTTAAAAGGTAGCTACTTGCAACATATACAGCCAACAAGCTTTTCAGTTCTGTCTTGTGCTAACCTGCATATTGCATTCATCTTACTTCATTATGGATCCTTGGATCTGTAGATATTAAGAAACACCACAGATCAGTAGTCTTCTCTGCATATGTATTTGTACTTTAAATCAGCAGAGCTAAATTTTAAACATGCAGCATGAATCACCACTATTAACCTTAAATCTTTAGGCAGATATCCTTTTAATTAAGAAATATTTCTTCAGCATCCAAAGTATTCCCAATCCTAAGTATACAAAGAAAGAAAGAAAAATAAATATTATAAGTATCATCGAAAAATTATTTAGCTATAAGAGCTAAATAGCCTTTGAAGAAGTGTGAAGTTTCTCTTAATTGTAACCAGTCAAGTTTGATATATAGGTTATCATTTCTTTCTTCCTGTATATAGGGGTCATTTTATTTTATTTTATTTTATTTAGCAATCAGTTAAGATTTTTTAAAAGGAATGTAATACTGCCTTTCTCTTTAGAATATTTTTTCCAGAAAATTAAACAGTGACTTCCTATCAACTATAGCGTTCTTGGTAGTTAAAGTAAGTCTGCATCCTGCAGAGGAATAAACACCGCCTTTATTTCATTTCATAACAATCTAAAAAGAGTGACCATACTATGCTACCGACTTTAAACAGAACTTTCTACTGATTTCAATAAAGAGTTGAACTGAAAGACTACTGGCACAAGTCTGTAACATAATGTAGTGAATTTTTAAATGTTTTATTGTTAAGAATATATCCTTCACTTTTGCAGAAAAAAAAAGTTTAAAACAACAGAAAAAATTATAGAGCTGTAGACCATTTTCATGTTTTCATAAGTCAGGAAAAGTAAATATACTACATTTATACTACAAGTTTAAGGATAAACTACAACAGTGTGTTTCAGTCTGCCTAGCTTAACAAAGATTTTCTTTTTTTCACCTGAACATTCAATTTTCCCTTTCTTTTTTTCAGACAGTTGCAAAGAGAAAAGTGACCGAAGAGGAAGATAATTTTACTAGAGAATTAACAGAGTTTAATAATGAGTATGGACTAACAAGTAATAGAGATCTTCTGATTAAAAAAAAAGCCAAGACTGAAATAAATGATTTAGAGAATGAGGCAGCTCTGTTGAAAAATGGTAAGTCTTATATTAAACCAGTTTATCTTGGATTACCAGAGAATTAATACAAATCTGTAAAATATAGCTGTGCAAAACAATAATTTTAATTCCATTCCCTTGCCACCTGGAACTTCCTCTTAGCACTAAACTGAAAGAGT